TTACAATTTCTTACCGTAAATACTGTAATAGTACCCCACCCCCATTAATGACGGTGCGGAGTGTTGCGTAGTCTAGCTTTGAACGAGTTTTTCTCGACAATGGTTTATGCTACAATGCGCGCTTAGGTATCAAAAACGCATTTTTTGAAAGTACGGGCGCTTTGAAAAAAAATGAAATACTAAAAAACCTTTGCGACTACGCGACTGTACGAGGGCGGTGGGGTACTATTATAGTATTTACGGTAAGTTATTAGATGTTACATTAATTCATAAACAACCCTAAACGTCCGAATGAACTAAAACAAAATTCTTAAACCAATTAAACCCGAATCCCATCCCATAAAACGTTTAGATTTATGGGATGGGTACTATTACAGTATTTACGGTAAGTTATTAGATGTTACATTAATCCATTAATACATATGATTATGTAATAGTACCCATCCCATAAATCTACTATATGATTTACGGTATGTAAATTTTCAATACTAGAATCAGCAGCTCTCAAAAGAAAAAAAAAATCATTTTTCTTGAAACGTTATCAATTGAAATAAAGAGAAAAGCACGATTTTTCAGAAGCACTTCTCAATTTGATTTATTTATCTTTGAGATTAAAATATTCAAATAAATTCTCACCGAACATTATTGATTCGTGGTTTTATTTAATTTTTAAATTTTCTACGAGTTTCTTCGAGTTTTAAAACATAAAAAATGTACTAAACAAGAGAGGGGATTATCAAATAAAAACATAAAATTTAATGATGAAAAAAGAAAAGGAAATAATTGGTGAGAATTTAAAGCCGAATTTATTGATAGAAATGGAAATGAGAGAACACAAATTTACGACAATGCCAAGAAAACGACGGGGAAAAGGGAAATGAGACTCTCCTTCTCTTTTCGTCTTCTTCTTCTTCATTTTCTTCTTCTATTCTTTACAAAGCCTTCATCTTTTTGATAAGATTCAAAGAAGAAAAGAGAAACTTTTGAAATAATCACGAAACTTGTCTTTTTCCCGTATTTTTGACATTTGATTTATAGTTTTGACTAGTTTTGATGGAGTTTTAAAGCAAAATTTAAATAGTTTCAATAGGGGAACTTTTCAGATTTCTTTAAAGCTTTGATATCATTCGAATTTCGATTCTGACTTTCAAATGAATGGTTAGAATGTGTTCGTCTCAAAGAATAAACTTTTGAAAACATGTCAAACTTTTGAAAATAATCGTAATCTTGGCCCAGTTCAATCTATTGTTGTTTAAAACTACAATAATCTTGTTTCTTGTAGTAATTGCAAAACGGAAACTTGGAGAATTGAAAAGAAAGGCAAGATTACGATCGTTTTGAAAATTGACTTGCTTTACTTGAGAAGAATACAGTCCGCTAGAATACAAGCTTTCAATCTGATCTAGGCTTTCAATCTGATCTAGGCTTTCAATCTGATCTAGGCTTTCAGTCTGATCTGGGCTTCCAATCTGATCTGAGCTTTCAATCTGATCTGAGCTTTCAATCTGATCTGAACTTTCAATCTGATCTGAACTTTCAATCTGATCTGAGCTTTCAATCTGATCTGAACTTTCAATCTGATCTGAGCTTTCAATCTGATCTGAACTCTCAATCTGATCTGAGCTTTCAATCTGATGTGTTACCGTAGCTCAAATATTAGCTTAGCCTCTACTCTTGTCCACCTTTTTCAAACTTATACTTAACTTTTCATTTATAAATGAAGAATTAGGCGACAAATGTCTGATTTGCCTTAAATAAAAAGTTTAACTATTTCATTTAGCTCATTTTTAGGCAATTTTTAGCCAGCTTTGAAGCAAATCCGAACGGGAATTCTTGTTTTTTTCCTGCAATCCTTACAATGGACATAAAATGAAAACCGCTTGGTGAAATATTATAAAAATTTGTCTATTTACATAGCTTTTTATTTTCTGTCTTTTCTCTTTTAACATTAAAATAGGTTTCTGTGAAATATTATAAAACTTTTTAGTGCTCAAATCAGAACTTTGAGTTTCATCGTTTTTGACTCCTCGACTTCACATCTTTAAAAAAAAATGAACTAACGCGAGCTTTCCAAACTTTCTTAAAGGGCACTTTGTAAATAAATAATAGGACTTTCTAATAAAACAAATTATAGATTTAATTAGTTGATTATTTCATTTCAAAAAGTAACCTTTAAGAAAAAGCAAAGAAGACAAAGAAGAGCAAAGAAGAAGCAAAGAAGCAAAGAAGAGCAAAGAAGGTCTTTTACAGGCACTTGGGATCCCATTTCGACCGACAGAGAACCCGCCATAGGTCAAAATGGGCCGAAATTGGGTTGACCAATTCTACAACCAGGGTTAGTTTTGGGAAGCGGTGACCACATGGGGCAGACAACGGGTTGGTTACCGGAAAGAAAACTTTCCGGTCAACCCAATAAATGTCAGTCTTCCGATAAAGGCAAAACTAAGAAAAGCTTTAAAAGTTTTAAAAGTTTATCTCAAAAACTTTCTCTCAGAGTTCATAAATGATTCCTATCATGGATAAACAAAAATTTAGACATAAATTACATAAAATGACATAAATTTAACCTGCTTTATTCGCCTCTTCCCCGTGTTTCTTCATGGTAACACCAATCTGTGAGCAGAATTTCCAAAAGAAACTAATGAAAAATTCTTCTTTGGTATTATATTTTAAAAGAAGAAAAGAAGAAAAGAGGAAAGAGGAAAGAGGAAAGAGAAGACGATTAGAAGAGGCTCTCTTCATTTCACTCTATCACTCAAATTTTTTATGCGATTTCGATGTGCAAATACAGCTTTTCAGCTAAACACTGACCAAAGACGGCACTTGAAATATTCACAAAATTGAAGGATTAACGAGAATTAGTGAAAAAGAATGAAACTTGGACTAGTTTTAGAAAAAGACTTTCTGGAAAACCTACCGTAAATACTGTAATTGTACCCCACCCCCATAATGACGGTGCGGAGTGTTGCGTAGTCTAGCTTTGAACGAGTTTTTCTCGACACTGGTTTATGCTACAATGCGCACTTAAATATAAAAAAATAGCCCTGAATTTCAGCTATTTTTTGATACCAAAGACGCATTTTTTGAAAGTACGGGCGCTTTGAAAAAAATGAAATACTAAAAAACTTTTGCGACTACGCGACTGTACGAGGGGAGTCGGGTACTAATACATTATTTACGGTAAGAAATTCTTTTGTAAATTTTTCATTTTAAACTATAACCATTTTACGTTGAATAGAATCAATTTTCTTTTAAACTAGTATTCAAATATTTTTCAATACTCACAAAATTGAAGGATTAACGAGAATGAGTGAAAAAGAATGAAACTTGGACTAGAATTAGACGGCATCAGAATTCAGAATCATCAGAAGAAGTCAGAATCAGCTGATGAAGTACAAAAAGGAATTCAATCGAGATTTGATTTGAGATCATAAGAAGAGGTCGAAACTTTTAAAACTCGAAGAAGTTAACTTACACTAGAGATTTGTCAATCAGCTGATTCTGACTTCATAACTGAGTATTTATCAGTCCAATTATCAACTCTTATTAGTTCATTTCTTGGTCTTATTCATGTTTCTCGAGCTTGTTCATGATCAGATAGAAATCTGACCAACCGCAACGAACCAACCAACCAACAAACCAACCAACAAAAATTCATTCTATTGGGTTGGTGAATTGAAAACTGCCGGCTATTTCGCGGGCTTTTTTTTCAATAAATGTTTCAAGAATGGGCTCCATGCTGTTTATGGTACTCAAACCTTGCTATCCGATTTCATAATACCATATTCGGGGCAGTTAAAAAAACGCGGCAGTTAAAAAAAACGACAGCATTGAACCAGCTGAAAGGGCGTTTGGTTACTTCAACATTTCCTCAAATTATTGCGAAAAAATTATGCTTCCAGCTTTTTATTTTTTCGTATTTTTCTTCACTATCTTCTATTGCACTCGACAATCTGCCACCGGGATATATTCGTCATGTCATGCTTCATGAGTTCCTGCACCAGAAGAAGTTTATGTTCTGCGTTTTCTGGGATATGGAGGGAGTGGTGTACTGGAAGTTGCTGGATAGCAAGACGACCGTTAATGCAATCAAATACAGTGAACAGTTGGGAAAGGTGAATAAATCCCTGAAGAAGAATAGGCCCTCCAAGTCAAAGATCGTTCTCATCCACGACAACGCGCGCTCTCATGTTGCAAAACTGACTAGCTCTAAAATAAATAGCCTTGTTTGGGAACTTTTGGTGCTTCCCCATACAGTCCGGACCTTGCCCCTTTTGATTATTATTTATTCCGGATCATGAGTAATGAGCTTGCGGGAGAACACTTCGATTCGGAAGAAGCAATCAAAAAATGGCTTTGAAAGTTTTTCGATTCGAAACCAAAATCCTACCACGAAAGAGGAATCCGCAAATTGCCTGTAAAATGGGCAGAAGTCGTCAATAATAATGGAAATTATTTGGAATGAATTCATGGTTTTATGTTCAATAAATTTTAGTTTAAAGTCCGGCAGTTTACAATTCACCAACCCAATAGATGACGAGATAGTTGCGAACTTTTCTTGAATACTATATATGTATTCTCTCTAATAGTAGTGCACCCCGGCGAGCCGAGTTGATGTCGATTTTACGGTTTCCAAGCTTTTGCAGAAGCTCAACCCTCTAATCCCCCACAAGATCTCATCGTCAGCTACATTTTTTTTTTGCTACAGTTTCAAGCTACAGTTTCAATGCACCAACCCAATATTTTGAATGATCAGAGGGGATAATGATCAAGGATAATAGGAATAATGCTGATAATATGGAAAGCCACAATATGCAATTAATAAATTGTACAACCCAGAAACTGCAAGCGTAACTTTGTTTTGCAAAACGTTGAGATTCGAGTGCACTCATCAATGAGAACAGCGGTTAATTTTGCGACACAAACACATACCTTCTGGCATACATAAGATTCGATGCAGATATTTATTTGAATCAACATGATCATAAAATCATCATTTATCCGACAGCCTTGATAGCACACAATCCAGTAGTGGGCACACATGGGGCTGTGGTTTTTGGGCAAGCTGAACAACTGGTAACTCCATTTGTGTAGACTGCTTTGGCAGCGACGAGGCTCCTAGAAAATAAAATAGAGACTGATTTAAATTGAATATCTTGACTTAAAGTTTAGTCAACAACACTTACAATGTATGTAAATGGATATAAAGGATACGATTTTTTAAAAGAGGATGAAAGAGAATAGAATTACTTTGGATAGAATTGACAAACGGTGGCATATTGTCCAGAGGAGGTAATGTTCACGTAGGCACAACCAACTTGAGTCGTTAGATCAGCGATCAACTGAAGATTTCGAAGATTTCGAATTTCGAATTTAAGCAATGAATTGAATGCAAAAAGAAGTCAGATTTAGCGAATTTACCTGATACATTTCATATTGATCGGTGGATGCTGAATAGGCAAATTTGTCAAGTCCTTGCCAATTGAAAAGTGCTCCCCATTGACCCCAGGCATTGTCGACTGAAATCATTCGATAAAGAAGTCAAATATGTTGGGATCTTTTATCCTTTTACAACGATAACATACAAATCTTGACAGCAGTGATTGTATTGGGTGCCACTCCATACTCGACTCCATATGTGATCTCTCCAACATTTGCCGGCACTGTCCCTGTCATTTGTTTGTTTGACAGTGTATTCAAACGGCTACGAGCAGCTGCTGCCAACGTTGCATTCCATTTCTGAGCAAAAAGAAAGATTATTTTTTGAAATGTTGATAACAAACCAATTGATACATTCGAGTGGCCTTTGGATAGTATCTGACTGGTGGGTCTGGAACAGTCTAAAATGGTTGCTCGTTAGTGAGTTAAAGAGACACTATACATTGATACTTTAATATCCTATCAGCACTCACACACAATCTATCTGATAATGGACAACAACCAATAATTGATTATGATATTGAAACAACTGACATCATCATATTGAGCATCATACTCCCATGTGTAATTGTGCCATCTTTGTGTTCCCTTGGCACATTTTGAGCGAAGTGCATTGAATGTCTGAACAATGTAAGTGTAAAGAATGTAAAATCATTTCAGTAACTTTTTTCTAAAAACTCACACTGAGAAGATGGGATTGATCCGCAACTGTGTAGACGACAGCTGCCCCTGCGATGGCTAAAGATTTGCTACTATCATTTACTAAATTTACTTCTTCATATTCTACTATCATTTTACAACCTTTGTTAACAGTACTATGCCCAAGTTTGCAATATTCTATTTGATTATCTTTGATTCTATTTGATTCTATTTGATTCTATTTGATTCTATTTGATTCTATTTGATTCTAATGGATTCTAATTGATTCTAATTGATTCTATTTGGTTATATTTCATTCTATTTGATAACAGTTTCAAGCTCTTAGAATTCTATCTCTTAAAAGAACTAACTTTCTTGTACCCATGGTCTACTTGTGACTTTTCTGTTTCATATTCGAATTTGCATTTGTTATGCAAAGTGGCTGACATTAGAGTTACTCAAACCTTAAATAGACTAACTTGAAATGAAGAGTGCCAATGTGAGAAGGATTTTCATCGTGAGAATTGATGAATGATGTGAATGAGCCCAGAAATGAGTGCTTTCCTGTCCGTTCATCGCCCATTTTATACCCCATAATGTCACTGGAGAACACTCGGATCGCCCAAAAACCAAAAAAAACTTTCTTCTAATTTTATTAAAAATGAACAATGACTTGCAAAAATCCGCCCGTCCTTTGATCACTAGAGCACATCTATTTTCTTTCATTTTACATCGATTCAACTAAAGTTAATATGAAAAATGGATGACGAACTTCTTTGTTGAAGAGCTTTTGCAATAACGATCAATCGCTTCACCAACCGCCCACCGATTTGATCCCTTTCCCTGGATTAGACTCGAGTTGAGCCAAGTCCAACGCATCATGTTTTATATCTAGTTTTATGAAAATGACATTTAAAAGTTAAAAGCCGATTGAAACACATTGAAAACTTTGATCTTTTTGAAACTAACTAAATCTATTTCTGACTCTTTGAAACTCATTGAACTCTAAAAAATGAGATCGTGAAGCACTTGTTAAGTGTTATCTGTAGTTGTTGTGTCGCTGTCTAATGCAGTTTACTGAATGCTACAAAGATCAAAAGGTGATTCACCGAGATACGCAATCACAAAGAGCCCCTTTTCTCACTCAATCGCTTCCAATCTGGCGCACTGTCACCAATGGGGGTTAATATGAGACTGAAATCCCTGATTGGGAATGAGTGGTCCGACCGGAGACAGGTTATCATTTAACTCCTTTGTTAAAACTCTCAACCCTGACGGCCAATGCACTGACAATGAAATGTCAGTTTGAAAAGCAGAAACCCGATGGAACAAAACCCCTGACTCCATGTCCACAGGTAGGACTATTGACTACTCGATTTTTTGGACTTTTTTTTTTGATTAACTTGAATCACTACAACAAATAAAGCATTTGATTAATTTAATTTGTGAGAAAGTAGTCATTTGAAAGGTTTAAATAACGTTAAATTTTGATTCTACATAACAGAGAAACCGTCGGAATTAAAAATAATGTTCAAGCTTAAAAAATATTGACTGCATACTCTTGGCCCTTCTCGACTCCCTTAACACTTTCGATAGATCACGGTAGATGAGAATGGAATTTCGCTGAGCACAATCCGAGGATTTTCGACCCGCCATCAAGGTTTACTTTTTGACTTTTGTATACCAAGTCATCAGATTCTTGTTTTAATCAATCAATCATATAATTAGGCTCGCTGGCCATTCGTTTGTATTTTGGCACACCTAAATGCCTAAACTAAACTTTAATAGACTAGCTATTAATAGTAAAAACTTTAATAGTAAAGAGTTGAAACTATGTCAGATCATTTCCAAAAAGATATTTAAATTTACAATGTAAATTCATAAAAGTTTTAGTAAAGGCACAAAGAAATGAAATAGTATAATTCAAGGAGCAAGAAAAACCTCCATTCCGGCAGTTCGAGTACGGTTTAGCAACTTTCCAGCTAAATTCTAAGGTACACCTAAGCTACCGTACTCAAGACGGCGTCTCCCTTTTTCCCCTATAAAACCAACCCCCATCCCTCCAAAAATTTATTCTTTTGAAGAATCGTCGCCCTGTCTTCTGCGCTCATGTTCTACTCGTGCTATTCTCTTGTAAATGTTGTTTGTGTTTATTGTTCCCTACTCCTTGTATTTTTTTCCATCCCCTCCCTGTTCTCTTCTTAAAATTGTTAAATTTTTAGAGTTTCTGTACTTTTCTCGGTCTTTCCACTTTGTTGATCTTCAGACCCGTGTCTTTCATATCACCGATAAAGTTATTAAAAATCTAAACATCCTTTCTCTATAAACGCCAGCCAATCTAACCCAGCCGCGCATCGTCTTGTTATTCTTCTCATTTTGGCAACCATTTGGAATTAGTGTTTTTGAGTTAAAAGATTTAGCAGCTTGGGTAAGGTTTCGACGCAGAATGTAAATTTTTGGAACCGTAATACCTTACTAGACAACAAGGAGGTTTTAGTAAATTCTACAGTTCCAAAGATTTACTTTCTGCGTCGAAACTTTACCCTAACTGCTAAATCTTTCAACCCTTTAATTCGCTTTAAATCTTTAATTTATTTAATTTAGTGTTTTCGATTTCAATTAAATGGCAAATGCGGGAGACGATGTGCAAAATGGTATGTTTGAATTTAAGATGCGAATTAATGAAAAATATCGAGTTTTCAAATTACTAAATTTTAGGTTCTTTCCGGATAACGGTTTTTAGGTTCTTTACGATAGGTTTTTTTGGCCATCTTGCAGCTCATTTTAAGCACCTCAAGTCAAAAGTTTTAATAAGATTTAGATAGCTTATAACGGTAGCTTTCAGAAATCCAGCTTTGTTTTCTCACAAGCTATTAACAAAAACCTATCTAAAATCGGGCTGCAATTTGACCAAAAAACTTACCCCCCACCCCGTTATCCGTAAAGCACTAATTTTTAAAATAAAAGAAATGATGTTTAAATTATCTTTTAAAATAATATTATTTAGAAAGCTTTGCTCAGGAAATACGGAAATTTCTCTTTTATTCGAAGTCGTTCGCAAAGCCTGATGGAGAAATCGAGGAAAACGACTCTTTGCGTGCTCCGGTTGGTGTTTTCCGTGTCACTTCCTTTCCGAACCGACACTTCGCTGCCACTTGGAACCATGGAGAGCATGAGAACATTAAGGAAGGGTCGGCTATGAATATTTATAACGAAGGTATGCAAAGATTTTTTATTAGGGCTATTATTGCGGACGTTGATTTGCTATTTATTATACAGAAATTGGGTTTATATGAAGGAGTTTTAGATGGAGATAAGTTCGAGACAAAGGTGATATTCAAGGGTTCAGTTCGAGATTATTTGGTTTTGGAATCGGATGAGAAGCTTGTCGAGGATGTTCCATATATTTCTTCAAATGTCATCGGTGGTACTCACTATTTGATCACTATTCAATAAATAAAAGCAAATTTGCTAAGGTTTTATTTATAATAACCATCTTTTGCTTATTTTTGAAATGGATCCACGGAAATAACTAATATGGAAAACGTTTGGTTCAAAATGATTTTTCAGTATAATCATCAATTAATATAATAGCAAATAAATATAGAAGGTTTAAGATAAAATTTAATTTAGGGCTATCGAGATGGGATCGAAAAGGCTTTGCCAGGGGATGCTCTTCTAAAACCATCGTTTCTTCCGGGTATTGTCACGTCCCAGGTGTATGACAAAAATGGTCACTATGGCGGTACTTCTGCGGAAATGCCCGGTTTTTCTGGGGGTCCTGCCTACCAGAAATTCTTTCGCAATGAGTTTCTCGGATTGTGTCTTAAAGGTAGGTATATCGATGGTTTTTGCCTCAGACTTGGCACATTCGCTTACAGGGGCTCAATGTTATCAAATTGTCGCTGGACATTCGATGGAAAGCGCAATAATCTATGTCAGTTTCTCCTATTCTCTTAACATTTATCAATTGACACAATTTCCTTTTAGTTAGTGGGATACGAAAAGCAGGTACTTAAGGAGACTAAGGAAACCGAGGAGACCGAGGAGTCCAAATGTTCTATTCTCTAATCACGTGAATTGATTGAAGTAATTTGTAAAAAATTTCTATTGAAAATTTGTTGATTCGATTTACGCTTCGAATAAATTTGTTTTTTTATTTAAAAAATAATTAAATTAAAGATCATTTAATTTTGACAGCAAGCTTTTGAAATGAAAAGAAAGGATGACCTGGAAACCAAGAAGGTACCTTTTAGAATTGTCAAATATAAATTAGGAATCATCTAATTGAGTACTAATAAGCAGAACAAAGTCCATTTGTTGTCGGTGGCTACACAAGCTAAACGATTAGCACACTCAAAGTCCCTGCTGAGAAGTTTCGGGAACAACCAGCATCTTCATGTTGTGTTCAGTGATGAAAAGATATTTACTGTTGAAGAGTATCTTAACAAGCAGGATAATCGCATCCACTCGGAGATTAAGCCGAATTCTCGAATTCAGCGAATTTCATTGATGCAGAACCAGCATCCACAATTGGTTATGGCTTTTACAGCTGTGACATCAGATGGAAATTGTCACTTTTTTCGTGGATGCTAGTGTTAAGATCAAGACGTGTATTTGAATTTCCTCAAAAACAATTTACTTCCATGAGAAATTTCCTACTTTGGGGCACGTCATTGAGCGTTTCAGCAAGACCAGAAAGCTCGCAAAGTTCAGGATTGGTGTGAGAACAATCTCCTCGAATTTATTGTTTTCCGAGTGGTCACCAAGCTCTCCAAGCTTCCCCTTGATTACTCTGTCTGGAGTGTTTTTGAAGCAAAAGCTTGCACGAGTAGCAAGCTAGTAATATTGCAAAGCGAACATTGCAAACTGGTTTGCTAAATTCCGTTCTGGGGATAAATCCTCGAAGACAAAGGGAGAAGTCTAGCAGTCCAGCTGGAGAATGTCAAGTTGCTCGAAATTTTTCAAACCACAACTTTCTTAGTTTGCTATCAGTTGATCCTACATCGCACAAAAACATTAATTCCTTGAAGAAATCGTTGATGAAAACCTGGGATGAGTTGGATATAGCCTCGCCACGATCAATGAGTGAGTGTAGTAGTGAAAATGGGCAATCAGAATGATTTTTAAATCAATCAATGCGTTCCCGAAACGACTCAAGGTCCGTTCCCATTTTGAGTTTGATTCATTTTTTTTTGTTGAAAAACAAATAAAAAATTTTATTTTAAAATTTCAGTTGGTTGATTCCAGCTGACTGACTGACTGATTGCTCTTTAGTTTTTTTGCTTCTTGAAACGCGAGAATCATCTTTGGAATGTTACCGTTTCAACAATCTTCTTTTCAACTAATAATGTTTATTTTCAAAATGTCAAAGTAAAATGAGAAAAGAAATTTGAGCTTTCTTTCCAGGCGATTGCGTTTTTTGATTTTCCAGGAATCAGCATTATTAGATTCTCCACGAATCCACGTTGCCGTAAAAGAAAACAAGCGATTTGTGGGTAGAAAGAAAGAAGGAGAAAAGGGAAATCTCATAAAACAGAGGCTTTCCATTATTTTTTTTTCACAAAGTGATAAGCTGGCAAACAACGCACGCGAATCGTTTTTTGATGGCAAATAAAGAGCACACAATCTAGGACTCGTGAAAAGTAGAAATGATTGCCCGAAGATCCCGAATTGCCTCAGTGTTTAAATAAAGGAAGCAAAAAAAAAAGTGAGTTAATTGGGAAAAAAAGAAAGACCCCACTACTACCAGAGTGATAAACTTTTATGAGAGTGAGTGTAGTAGTGAAAATGGGCAATCAGAATGATTTTCGAGTCAAAACCAGGCTCTATTTTGAGGAAATAACAAATGATATTTGGTTTTAAAGTGTTTTTTCAGCTTTTTGTCAGCATCAGGATTGCATATTAGATTCGAATCTGATTTTTAAATCAATAGAATAGACGCTAGAGATTTCAGGAGCATTTCGAAAAGGTTTTAGATCTAAATCTCGCTTTTGACAAACAATTTTGAACGATTTGGCTTGATCCGTCAGATTTCCTTGAATCCTAGGCAGAATTTTGATGCAAACTCATCAAAATTCTGCCTTTGGAAATTGGATATGCAAATTGATTTTCTCATTCGCATTCAAAATAGCATTGACTGGCTTTTCTTTCGAAACACAAAGAATCGAATAAAATTGATCCTGGTGCAGAGCTTCATTTTGCCCCTTTTCAGCGTTTTTTTCGTTTCTGAAAAACTCAAGAAAAAAAAACATGAAGTTTAGAAAAGTGTAACTACTTTTTTTTTCGAGGCTTTTGTAAGTAAGTTTATAAGATTGTAGTATAATTGTACATTTATAGAAAAAGAATTATGAGAGTTTTATGGAACGGTTCACGAATAACATTGAAACATTCAAAAAAGCTCCTTGTCTGGGTAATTTTGCCCTATTGTTTTCACTTTGTTTAGCTAAACTCAATTTCATTTTCTACAAATCTATGAATGAATTGTAAAGTTTATAGGGAAAATTCCCCAGACAACATGTAAAATTTTAGGACTTATTTCCCCGATAACCGATTCTCCGGGTATTTTTCAAAATTAGTAACTTTTAAAATGCCCAAACCTTTGACTAAACTTCCTTTTTTCGAATTGAAGTAAAAGTAAAAGTGCTGAGCTTTTTTTTGAAAAAGCAATAAATGATATTTATGACTTTGAGTAGGGCTAATATTTTTTGATATAAAAATTGATGGAAACTGGTAGAATGCTACTGGATAAGGGAAGAGAAATAGTTATGACTACATTGAGACAAACACATTCCATTGAGTCTCTATAACGAGCGAATTATAGCTCTCGGCGATCTTTGCCCACAATGAGAACTAAGCATTTTCAGTAGTTGAGTGCTGTTTTTCATTTCTCGAGTCATTTCTCGAGATCACACGTGGAGAAAATTTTTGGTTGGGGGAAAGCAATAAAAGGGATCGTTGGGATGCTTCTCGCGTTTTATGGGGAATGTGATAAGGAAAGAAGAGAGATTCCAAAATGAATTGAATTCTTTGAATTGAAGCTTCATTTATCCTTTGACCCCTTTTTTGAGGTATTGGGAAAGAGACGAAAACAATGGAGAAATCATCGCGTCCATTTTGGTCTAATAAAATTTAAGCACCAATTTTATGGACATTATCAGCGGGAGAATCGATTGCTTTGAATCGAATTTCAATGATCTCATCTCAAACAAAGAGATCTATGAAAATAAGTCAGAGATCAATTGTATCAATGGATTTCTGATCAAAGAATTCTCAGTGTTTTTGTTAATGAAAATCATTGAAATTTCATGAACTTGTGTTCAAAGCCAGTTCACTTCAAAGCTAGTTCACTTCAAAGCTAGTTCACTTCAAAGCCAGTTCACTTCTAAGCCTTCAAAGCCAGTTCACTTCAAAGCCAGTTCACTTCAAAGCCAGTTCACTTCTAAGCCTTCAAAGCCAGTTCACTTCAAAGCCAGTTCATTTCTAAGCCTTCAAAGCCAGTTCACTTCTAAGCCTTCAAAGCCATTTCACTTCAAAGCCAGTTCACTTCAAAACCAGTTCACTCAAATGTTAAAAGCGAATTCCAGAAACGAAATCCCTTAAAAATTTCATAAATTCTCGAAATTTTATGGTTTATACCTTGCAAAGAACTTTATCAATTTGAAGAATTTTTTCGATTCGAAGAATTCGATTTTCCATCACAGATCATTTCTCGATTGTTTTTTAAAGAAAACCGGAGATCGGAAGACCCAACTGATTCAACGGAATCATTTTCGGGTGTCACGAGATTACAACCCATTTCCAGTACTTTCTGGCTGTAGTAAAATGAAATGAGAGGAAAAAGAAAGAGAAAAAATAAACCCGTGAAACGACTAGATAAGCCGATCTTGAGGGGGATAGCTGGCTGCATAAAAGGAGGTCTCGATCAGCGGAAGATCACACTTTTGCCCCAATTCTTGAGACTTCTCCATTTGAAGACTCAGATTTGGACTCGGAAGGTCGCCATGCCTCATCCCAAGCATCATCACTCTCATCATCTCACCGTCAAGGAGATCAGTGAGTTTTCTTTTCTGGATTCTTCTGTTTCAAGTAGATGACTAAACCGTAGAAGAAGAATATCGTAAAATTGATTTGAAAATTGATAGATTTATTCAATCTATCTTTTTGCATCTTTGTAAACCATAAACAAAAGTAAATTGTATAGTAATAGCATTTTCTACCTTCAACGTTAGATACTTTCTACTTTCTACTTTCTATGTTAGATAAATCGATACGATTAGATACGTTAGATACTTGGGCTACTGTAAAATTGACAAATTACGGCAAGTAGATGAACGGCAAGTAGATTCAAACTACCGTAATCTACCGTAAGAAATTCAGTTCTAAACAAAGGATTTTAGAAAAGATCTTCTCGCACCATGATGACACCAAAAGTGGACGCATTTCAAGAGATGAGGCCAAGGTAGGCAACTAGAGAAACAAATAATTTGAGAATTTGTAATCGTTAAGGTTTTTACATTTAAATTTAAGGCCGCTCTAAAAGAAGTTGGATCTCATCATCATCGTCATCACAAAAATGACTTTGAGAACGAGTTCAACAAATTGGCCAAGCGTCACTCCAAGCATGATCATCATCACATCACGTTTGCTGGTTTGTTTAATATTTTGGTTTCTTTAATCTGGTTTCTTTAATCTTTAAGCTGGTTTCTTTAATCTTTAAGCTGGTTTCTTTAATCTTTAAGCTGGTTTTTTTAATCTTTAAGCGGGTTTCTTTAATCTTTAATCTAGTTTCTCTAATCTTTAATGATCAAATAATGATAGCTAAGCTATTTCTATACTTAAATATCTTATTAGAGGTTTATAAAATGAAATGCTTACATGTAAACGACTCAATTTAGATTTCTTGCACTTTGTTCATCCCGCCGAAGGAGTGCATCATCACAAACATCACAAAAAAGATCACAAGGCTTCAAGGTTTGAGAAAAAAGCTCTCTATGAGAATTATCGAAAAGTTTAGCTCGTCTTCAAGCTCTTCTTCATCGTCTTCATCGTCAAGCAGCTCATCGGAGTCGGAGCCTGAGCATCATCATCATCATCACCACAAGAAAGAGAAGAAAGATGCCTCTTCATCTTCATCCTCTTCTTCGTCATCCTCTTCCTCATCCTCTTCATCAAGCAGCTCTGAATCTGAGGCTGAGCATGGACATCACCATCACAAGAAAGACTCCAGCTCTTCTTCTTCTTCTTCATCTTCATCGTCGAGCAGCAGCTCCGAATCTGAACCAGAGCACAAACATGGAAAGCATCATCACAAGAAACACCATGTGAAGAAAACCAAGAAACACCAATCCAGCTCATCTTCTTCTTCCTCGTCCAGCTCCAGCAGCTCTTCTGAGTCAGAAGATGAACATCATCACAAGAAACATGAGTCTGGCTCATCTTCCTCGTCTTCTTCATCTTCTTCATCGTCATCTAGCAGCTCGGAATCCGAGCCCAAGCATCACAAGAAGCACCACAAGAAACACCACAAGAAAGACGCCGTTTCAAGCTCTTCTTCGAGCTCTTCAAGCTCTTCATCATCGTCATCTAGCAGCTCCGAATCGGAAGATGAACATAAACATCATAAGAAGCATCACAAAAAGGCCGAATCTGGTTCATCCTCATCATCATCGTCGTCATCTTCATCATCTTCTTCCTCGTCGAGCAGCTCCGACTCTGAGCCAGAGCACAAGCATCACAAGAAACACCACAAAAAAGAAGCTGGATCGTCATCCTCTTCTTCCTCATCATCTTCATCTTCTTCGTCAAGCTCTGACTCGGAGGCTGGACATGGAAAGCACAAGAAGCATGAATCGAGCTCATCATCTTCTTCAAGCTCATCTTCTTCGTCCTCGAGCAGTTCCGAATCCGAACCTGAGCACAAGGCTCACAAGAAGCACCATCACAAGAAACATCATAAGAAAGAGCACAAGAAACCCGCCTCATCATCCAGCTCATCTAGCTCTTCGTCTTCGTCTTCCAGCAGCTCTTCTTCTGAAGACGAACACAAGCATCATCACCACGAGCACCACAAAAAGGACAGCTCAAGCTCGTCCTCGTCTTCGTCGTCGTCGTCTTCATCAAGCAGCTCTGAGTCCGAGCCAGAGAAGAAACATCACTCTCATGCTCATCATGAGCACGGACATGTTCATCATAAGAAGCACGGAAAACATCATAAACATCACGAACACGGTCACCACGAGCACGGTCATCATCACGAGCACGGACATGGACATGGACACCACGAGCACGGACATGGACATGGACATCACGAGCACGGACATGGACATGGACATCACGAACACGGTCACCATCATGAGCACGGACACCATGAGCATGGCCATCATCATGAGCATGCCCACGTTCACCATAAGAAACATGGAAAGCATCATAAGAAACATCATGAGCACCATGAGCACGGACATGGACATGGACATCACGAACACGGTCACCATCATGAACATGGGCATCATGAGCACGGGCATGGACACCATGAGCATGGCCATCATCATGAGCACGGACATGGACATGGACACCATGAACATGGACACCATCACGAGCACGGGCATGTTCATCACAAGAAACATGGCAAACACCATAAGCATCATGAGCACGGCCACCACGAGCACGGACATCACGAACACGGCCACCATCATGAACATGGGCATCATGAGCACGGGCATGGACACCATGAGCATGGCCATCATCATGAGCAGGGACATGGACATGGACACCATGAGCACGGTCATCATCACGAGCATGGCCATGAACATGGACACCATCACGAGCACGGGCATGTTCATCACAAGAAACATGGCAAACACCATAAGAAGCATCATGAGCACGGGCATCACGAACACGGCCACCACCATGAGCACGGACATCATGAGCATGACCACCATCATGAACACGGACATCATGAGCACGGACATCATGAACATGGCCACCATCATGAGCATGGACATCATGAGCACGGACATCATGAGCATGGCCATCATCATGAGCATGCCCACGTTCACCATAAGAAGCATGGAAAGCATCATAAGAAACATCATAAGCATCATGAGCACGGACATCACGAACACGGCCACCATCACGAGCACGGGCACCATGAGCACGGACATGGACATCATGAGCATGGACATCATCATGAGCACGGACACCACGAGCATGGGCATCATGAACACAAGCACCACGAACACGGACATCATGAACACGGCCACCATCACGAACATGGACATCATGAGCACGGACATCATGAGCACGGCCATCATCATGAGCACGGGCATGATCACCATAAGAAACATGGCAAGCATCATAAGAAACATCATAAGCATCATGAGCACGGACACGAACACCACGAGCATGGACATCATGAACACAAGCACCACGAGCATGGACACGAGCACGGACACCACGAGCATGGGCATCATGAACACAAGCACCACGAACATGGACACGAGCACGGACATCACGAGCATGGACATCATCATGAGCACGGACATCATGAACATGGACACCATGAGCACAAGCACCACGAGCACGGACATCACGAGCATTCTGATGAGCATCATCACAAGAAGCATCACAAGAAACATCATAAGCACTAGAATATTGAATGTTACTCTGTACAAATTTGTATTCAATCTCTTTATCCCATCATTAGCGATGGTTTAGTTTTGAGCGTCAATAAATTTTATTTATAAAAGCAATTTTAAAAAGAACACCGGTAATCGAATATGGCATGTCAATTGAGGATTTTGGAACAGAATCATGGATAGAAATCTAGGCCAATGAAGAGAAAAAGAGTTCTTTTACAGATGAGCAACATCTTTTTGAAAAAAGTTAGAAAATAAATCTCAAATTTAGGCAAATCAAAATGAGGTATAAAGTTATTGTTGAGATTCTTGGCGAAGAACTAATGAATGGAGAAGGCATGGCTCCTAGACGTAATGATCGAGCTTCACTCCTTGGTCCAAGTCCTCCAGCATTATAGGCAGCAACCTAAAATTTTGGTGACTTTCAATGGGAATTTCTAAATGGTCAAACCTGTACTGTGTATTTGTACATGAGTCGTAAGCCATCCAAACGGGCAGAAGGTTGTTGAGGGTCGACTAGCGCTTTCAGAGGCATATTCAAAACAACAGCATCGGAAGCGGTTTCAGAAATGTAGACAAAGATCTAAACGAACGATTGAACATTTACTGAACGATTGAACATGTAAAAGTTAAAACCTTGTAGCCAAGCTCGGTGGGATCTGTGATATTCCCGAAATCAACTGAAGTCCATTCGATAATCGTAGTGAAATGTCCATCCGGCATTGCAGCCAATCCCAGCCGCCCAATTGTAGGAGCTGCGGGTGGAGGTGGTTTTGCGGTTCGGACAGCTTCCTGAATAAAAAGATTCTAGATGTGAAAACAAAGTCTAACTGTTTCTGTTCTTGCTCCAAGTCTTCCACTAGGGTCCACCGGTGTTAGAGAACATCGATAAATTGTTGACGCTTTCAATCCGCCGACCATCCATTTAGTGAATGAAGCAGAGACGGTCAAAGGGCCGACCAAATGATCCGGAGCAAAGCATTCAATCTGAAAAACGGATTTGATAACAAAGACTTCATGAAAACCTGAATGGCAAATGTGACGTCACAGTCGCTCGCTCCATGCCAACTCCAAGAAATATTTAAATGAGTGGCATTTAAGGCCTGGATTTCGGTGATGTTCACATGACGCATTGAGCCTGAAATTTAAGAATCTAAAAACAAGTACGACGCTTTAAAAAGTTGACAGTGTTTTGATTGGGTACATGAAATACCTTTTGAATTCACAAATGCAACAGCATCCGTCGCTGTATCTGATGGTCCTTGATCGTTTAAAGCCCGAACCTCAAGGATAACTGCTCGACATCCATCTAATATAAAGTTTTTGTGTTTCTTTACGAAATTTTACTGGTAGAGTTGAGTCGGACAAGGACGGCCGGATGCTCGGATTCGATCTCGTGCTTTAGAATTTTTGGCGTACTTGTATACGTCCTTCGGCCGCCTCTTCTGACCATGTCACCAAATAGCGAAGGTGGTCACCAGATGAATGCCTCCTGAGAGTTTAGATGTTGATGGAAAGATGTCGATACTTCAAACCTGTTCCACAGCACCCCACTCAACGAAAATCGTGCTTTGATCGAGTGCTTTCCACGACAGACTTTGTGGAGCCTCGGTGGGTGGCCTTGCCGGAGTGTGAATCCATTCTGTTGGCGCTGATGCGTCGCCGATCTGTCCGCCGAGCACCGAGCGCACACGGAACTGTAATTGAGTACTAGACATGGGAAAATTTCAAACCAAATCTAATTCGATCTTTTTTTTCTTGGCCGTTTCTTGGTCGATTGCTCTGCAATTTTGTTTACAAATAGAAATTGGGATTCTCTGCTTGTAGAGCAAAATTGCAGAGCAATCGACCAAAAAAAGGTCAAGAAAACAATGGTCGAAATTAGGTTTGGCTTGGAATTTTCCCATGTCTGCTTTTAAAATACCGACTAGTTGCATATATTTCCTTTTCTAATCACTTACCTGATAGTCTTGATTCGGTAAAAGATCATCGACCGTTGTTCGATCCACAGATTTCTCAATTCGCTGAAACATTGACCGATTGACCGTTTTCCATCGTCGATCATCTTTCGACCGCACTTCAATCAAGAAACTTTCTTCCACAGGCTAATATTTTCATTTAAAAAGCAGCTAATTTCTTTCTTTTTACCGGATTTTGTCGTGTTTCTCGATGCTGCGCTGGCAAAATCCAATAGAGATCGACTCCGAAACGAGAAATGTTCACAGCATTCACCTGAAATCCTTTTATCCTTTTTGTTCTCAAAATTGCCAAACCTTTAATGGTGCTGGTGGGGATCCTTTCGATATCGAGATCCCATCAGATTCTCCAAAAATAGATCGGCAAAAGGAGGGCTTCCTGACGACTTCTTCCTGAAAATTGGTGATCTCAAAATTGGTGAAAATCAACATTTCCCACCTCATGCTGAACCTCACAAGTGACATTTCGTCCGCTTTCCCAGATCATTGTCCCATTCTTTGCGCGAATCTCTTTTTTATCTGAAAATCTTGAGTTTTTCCGATTGTTTAGATGTGACAAACCACTGACAACCAAAGTGACAGCTGCATGATCTTCGCCAAGACGATTGCGAACGATGCAAAAGAAAAGACCAGCGTCATCTAAATGTAGAAAAATAAAAAAAACAAAACAAATCTACATACCTGAAATAAGATTCTCAATGACAAGTAGTCCATTTTGATCTCTGATTCGCCCTTTTGTGGGCAAATTTGTCCCGCCACCAGTCGACCAAAAAGCTGTTCCCAATGGTGAGGCTTGATAAACACATGGAAGTCTCTAGAAAGAAATTTTTGCAACTCTGTTTATAGTAATCTAAAGTAATTGAAAAGATCTTGCAAATATCTTGCAAAGATCACTCTAAATGAACTCACCAAAGTTGTCCCTTTTAACGCAAAAACCTTTGATGGCATTGAAAGAGGCGGAAATCTTGGCGCCGCGTCGAGCACTTTAATGAACGAAGAGCTGACTGTTGATCCAATCTGATAAAGATCTTTGAATTCTATTCTAAATTTTTCTTTACCTCATTGCTGACCACACATTCATAAATTCCGGTATCATTTGGTTTCGTTTCTCGAATGAGTAATCTAAAGTTAAGAAAAAACATAAATTTATATTAATCATTCGTACAAATTGTGATCAATCGTGAATCGGCGACGTTCGTGTGCTGGCATAAGAAGTGGAACCAAGGGACGAGCATTTCGAAACCATTCAACCTGAAAAAAAAGTAAAGCTTTTGATATGTTTAACATATTATGAAACAAAGAACTCTTATTTTATTGTGACTTGTGTTCCTTTATAGTTCCTTTATAGTTCCTTTATGGTTCCTATTTGGTTCCTTTAAAGTTCCTTTAAAGTTCCTTTAAAGTTCCTTTAAAGTTCCTTTAAAGTTCCTTTATAGTTCCTTTATAGTTCCTGTTTGGTTCCTTTATAGTTCCTACTGAGATTTTATTTACTTGTGATGTGAGATCAGATGACGGAAGTGTACATTCAAGCGACCATTCCGATTCTGTTGCAACTAATCGAGGAGCTAACGGAAGAAGAACAACTGGTGGTCCGGCCAAAATCAGCGTCACTTCCCCACTCACCACTCCTTTTACATTTGCTGCTGTACATTTATATCTAAAGGATTTGTTTTTTTAAAGGATAAATAGTGATTGCCTTGTCTGATCGTGTGGTTGAAGGTTCTCAATTTTCAACACTCGATCGTGATTCAAAACGGTACTTCGATCAGGTAAAGGTTTCCCGTCGACTCTTGTCCATCGATAAGATGGAACCGGGCTAAAAAAAATTGTTAAGATGTTTATACGTTTTGCTATTTTAATAAATCTCACTTTCCATACGCAAAGCATTCAATATAGACTGTATCGCCTGGAGCTGGTCGTTCTGGGAAAAGCTGTGGATGACCGACTTCGAGTCTTGGTGGGAAAGCTTCTCTAAAATGTTTGTCATAAACTTAAATAGATATTAAAGGTTAAAACGAACCTAGTTGGTGATGGAAGAGTTGCAGGGGGAACTCGTAAACGAAAGAATGGACCGATAATGTCCAGAAGACATTGAGGCCAATGAGAGAGAACAGGCATAACTGGAAGAATTTCAATTTTGAAGAATTTCGAAAAGAATTTCGTGATCGTGATCTTACTATTGAAATTTCTAGATAGTCATGATGCTTCCCGTTCTCTAAAAGACACTGTAATCAAGCTGTCAGCTGATCAGCCAAATGCTGATCAGCTGATCACCAAAATGCTAATCAGCTGACAGCCAAGTGCTGACAGCGGATCAGCTGACAGCCAAATGCTAATCAGCTGATCAGCCAATCTATTCAAAATCTAATACCAAATGAAAACGATTAGTGTAGCTTTCGAAAACAGAAGTCTATCGTCGATAGACTATCGTCTCATCGTCTATCATCTCATTGTTTGACTAACCTTTCATCATCTTCAGCAAGCACGTGTGAAAAGAGAAGCGTTCCATCAAGGGAAATGAAAACTCGTTGATCTTGTGCTCGATATCTTTCCGTTGATCCACCAATGTGCCACGCATAAGTGATCGACTCTAAAACACACGCAAGCGGTGCAAATTGATTTTTTAAAAGGAAATATTCTATTGTGCTGACTTTTTTTTCATTAAAAATTGCTAGGCTGAACATTTCATTTTCTTTTTTTGAGGAAATTTTAAAAAAAACAGGAATCGTTTTGAATCGTTTTATCAAAAACAAAAGAGTAATCAAAGAAAACTTGTTGACTACAGATTACCGTAAGAATTTCTATTCGAATTCCGCTGACGATGGTCTGAATTTTTCGATTTTCGAATTTTCGATTCTTGCTTTTTTTTTTTTGTGCAAAGCTGTTTAAGATTTTTTAGTGGAATTTTTTGTGCGTGTCAAAGCAAATGGTGGTTTGTTATTTGATGAGAGTTTTTCTACGGAACTATCAAAAGTTTATTGTTGCATTTTGTGTGAGAGTTGAGTGCTTTAAGTGATTTTTGAATTGTGTAAAGTAGAAATTGTTCTTTTCAAACATTCATAGACGATTTCATTTCAATGTGATTCGTGTGCTGAGTGGATTTCTCACAAAAACACTTTTTCTAAAACATGACAACTTTCGTTAAAGCTATCGTAATCCTGGCTACCGTAATCCTGGCCACCGTAATCCTGGCTACCATAATCCTGGCCACCGAAGGCTACGTCATCCTGGCTACCGTAATCCTGGCACCATAATCCTGACTACCGTAATCCTGGCTACCATAATCCTGGCTACCATAATCCTGGCTATCGTAATCCCGGCTACCATAATCCTGGCTACCGTAATCCGGACTAACCTGATATCGAACTACCAAATCCTGGCTACCATAATCCTGACTACCATAATCCTGGCTACCATAATCCTGGCTACCATAATCATGGCTACCGTAATCCTGACTATCGTAATCCTGGCTACCATAATCCCGGCTACCGAATCCTGCTACCATAATCCTGGCTACCATAATCATGGCTACCATAATCATGGCTGTACCTGACTATCGTAATCCTGGCTACCGTAATCTCTAATGGAATGGGGTGAATGGGTGGATAAGAGGGGAGAGAGGGAGAACGATGGTCGGATGAGGGAGAGATGCATCAGTGGGAAAGGGGGGACACAGAGCTGATCTACCGTAATCAGAGCTGATCTACGCAACGGGGCGGACTTCCGTAATCTCTAATGGTTCGTAATCTATCTACAATTTGTAGATGTTACAGTGACTCAAGCAATACCGTATTCAATAGAAACTATCTAGATTACTGTAACTTTTCTAGTTTTGATCCATTTTTGATATTTCCCTATATTTGTGAATGCTCACAGAATTAGAGCTTGCATAAAACTGAGCCAAGATAACGATAGTTTCGAAAATTCACGTTTGAGAGCTATTGTGGAATAAAACAAGCAAAACAAAAAGGGAATTCCCTCACACAAAATTCTACATTAAAGCCTTTTCATCAATCAGCCAATGGAGAAGATCTCATTCAAGGAAAATCAACAAAAAATATCAGAAAAACCTCGAAAGCTTGACTTTTATTCGTTATTTGAGTGAACCTAGTTATTAAAAATAACCACTTTTTTGCATAAAAGACTTTTAAGCTTTAAATAGTACCAAAGCTATTGTTCTAATAGCTATTATTCTAATAGCTATTGCTCTAATCAAGATTGAGATTAACTTGATTGAGATTGAGATTATTGACACATTGTCAATGGTCAAACCATTGACCATTGATCTTATAACAAATCAAAAACAAATCAAGAACAAATCAATTGACTCAAGAATCATTTCAGCTTTAGGTATCAATGAAAAGCTCTAAAAATCTTCTATGAAACAAAGAAAGTAAACATATTGACTTTAAAGTTAACTAATAAAAAAAATTGACTTTAAAAGTTAACTAATAAAAACATATTGACTTTAAAAGTTAACTAATAAATTAGCTAAAAGCTAGCTTCACTCCCCGAAACAACGAAACAAAGTCAGTCATATTTTGTGATGCGGAAAGATAAAGGTGCATGTTCATTTCTTTTTTTGTGTGCAATTCGTGGCAAATACAAATTTTTCTTTTCAGGTTTATTTCTATATGTTTCCACTAAATGTTTCGAAAAGTCAAAAGTGAAATTCAGCCACAAAAAAATGACTGATTAAAAGTGATTGATTGATTGAACTGATTGATTGAACTTGGTTAAAAATTGATTAAAAAAATTGATTAAAAAATTGATTGATTAAAAAAACTGATTAAAAGTGTTTGAAAAAGTTGAGCTTTTGCAAAAACAATCAAATTTCGTTTATAAACCCAAAAAAAAACTCTATAAAAATGGGCTGAATTTTTTGGAAAATTTTGGAAATCTTTTCCCATCATAAATACAAAAGAAACTCGAAAATTTGTGTGTAAAAAGTGTGAAAGTGCGAGTGATGAAGTGCCATTTTTTTTTCGTGCCATTTTTTGATCAAGTAATTCTCGTGCCATTTTTTTTGCTTGGTGATTTTTTTGGTGATTTTTTGGTGAGGTGATATGTGCGAGTGGATGAGTGCATATAAAAACGGATCGTGCATTTTTGTGCTCATCTTTGTGCTCATTCTTGTGCTCATCTTTGTGCTCATCTTTGTGCAATTTGTGAACATTTTTGGTGCAAGCTAGATCAAATTTTAAAGCAAAAAAAGAAAATGGCTCGTGCTTGATGTGCTGTAGTGTAAAAAACAGGTGCTGTAGAGTGAGGTGAATGCGTTTTTCAAATGCGAATGCGTTCTGAATGCGTTTTTCTAACGTTTTCCTTCTGTTTTCCTTCTGTTTTCAACTTTTCATAAAGCTAAAGTAATCTTGGAAAAGATTGAAAACCTAGAGGAACGATACTTTCAAAATCAAAAGTTGAAACGTTTTAGAAAACGGATTCGGAAAACTTACCGTAAACACTGTAATAGTACCCCATCGCCCTCGTACAGTCGCGTAGTCGCAAAAGTTTTTTAGTATTTCATTTGTTTCAAAGCGTCAGTACTTTCAAAAAATGCGTCTTTGGTATCAAAAAATAGCTGAAATTCAGGGCTATTTTTTGATACCAAAACCCGCATTGTAGCATAAACCAGTGTCGAGAAAAACTCGTTCAAAGCTAAACTACGCAACACTGCGCACCGTCATTATGGGCGGGGGGGGGGGTACTATTACAGTATTTACGGTATATACAAGTTCAGTAGTGAAGTGAAATCGTTTGGGTTAGTGAGACAAATGTTATGACAAATAGGGGTAGATTCAAAGAATAAACTCAATCATTTCTCATATGAAAACTGATCTAAAATTTTTAAAACATTGTGCGAGTGCTCACAATACGACAACGATCAGAATGGGAAGAAAAGAAGAAAAGAATTCCTTCGATTCGCTTCTTCAATCCATTTTAATGTGATTTTTGGTGTGATTTTGATGTGATTTTGGTGTTGAGAAGATCAAAATTGGCAAATAGGGAAGTGAATAGTCTAGAAATTTCAAAGTTATACAAGAAAAATAGAGAATAAAGGTGAAGATGGAGATAAAATAGAGATCTTTAGATTATATATATATATAATAGAGAAAATCGAGAAAATAGAGTTTAAAAAATAGAGATCTTTTTAAGCCACTTGAATCACTTGAAAGTTTAATTCAATTCAGGTTTAATTCAAGAAAAAAAAGCTAATACAAAGATAATACAAAGCTATTATCAATATCATTGAAGCTTTTATCAATATCAAAAAAGTTGAGCGGTGGAAAATCGAGAGAGAGATTGACAAACAAAACACCGAAAATCTGAAATTAGTCTCATCAATCAACAATTTCTTTTGGTTGTTAAGGAAAAGAAAAGAACAGCCCGCCTTTTGTTTTTGATCAAAAGAAGAAATAAAGAAATAAAGAAATAAAGCTAAAAACATGGAAAATTTAAGAGAAATTAGCTTTTTAGCAGCAATTTATGCTTTGAAACTATTTGCGAATTCTTCAATGCTTTCAATGCTTCAATGCTTTCAATGCTTCAATGCTTCAATGCTTTCTAAAACGTTTCAAACGAAATTCATCGTAATCTTGTCTCTAGTTTTGTCTAGCACGTTACAATTGTAGATTTTACAATCATCCAAATAGTTTCTACTGTCTACTTGGGTTACTGTAACCTGTAGTTTTATCTAAGCTATCACTTTTCCTTTGATTCTACAGCGTTCTACCAAAAGATAGATGGATTGGATAAAAACTAGAGGCAAGATTACGAATTGATACGTTTTAAGGAAACACTTGTTTGAGAAGGATACAAAGGATACACTCTAGCCATGATTTAGCTTGATTAAATGATTTGAATCGCTTTATCTAGAAGGGATCTATAGCTTTATCTATTTATAGCTTTATCTAGAAAGGAAAAGCTGAAAAAGCCACGTAAGTTCTTAAAGAAAATGATTGAATCAACGATTGTTTTCACTTAAAAAAAGAAAACTGAAATTTGGCTCAAATCCTAATTGAAATCGAAAACACAATAGCCAGCAAATAGAATGTCACTTTTTGATTGGTTAATAAGAATTTGGAAAGATTAGATTGTGTGATGGGAAAGTGTTCAGT